GTGCAAGAAGATGCAGGCCAGGCTCTTCCCCCACGGCTCCCCACTGCGTGGCTGTTGCAGGCACACTGGTAACATGCAGTTTCTCACTTTGCCAGAAAAGCCTTTCACTAGGTGCATTAAAATATATATTGTGTTTCTTTGCATTGCCTAAGCATAACCCCAGCATGTCCGCAAAGCCGCTAGCAACCACCAAGAAAACCCAGAAAGAAAAAGAGAAACTCATTCTTGTTTTCTTAACGCAGAAAACCACAGCAATTTATTTTTCTCATGTCTAATTTTAACCAAATGAAAAACCACTTACGTATGAACTTTAACTTCAGAAATCCCTTATTTTATTAGCTATTTTCTTCCCAGCCTCTTCTCGCTGAATCCACTTCCCAGACACTGTCCTGGCGTGGTGCCCGAAGGGCTGACTCAGAACCCACAGATGAAGGGCCATCTTAGCCCTCATGTTGGCACTTCCAGGTCAGCTTTGGCCCATCTTTTCTTCCGAGCTGCTTTTTGCCAGCTGTCCCAGCCACAGGACCACTTCTCCAGCCTGCCCAGGTCCCACCCTCCAGCAGTTTCGGCCACTCACCCCAATTTGGTGCCACCTGTAGATTTGCCAAGTCCACCCCATTATCCAGGGCATTAATGAAGATGTTAAACAGCACCAGCGCCAGTATCAGCCAGTTTTTCACCCACCATGTAGTTTACCCATCCAGTCCATACCTCCACCAGTTTAACTACAAGGTTGCCATGGGAGACCGTGCCAAAAGCCTTGCAAAAGTTGAGGGAACGTCACCCATCACACTCCACCATCCACAGAGCCAACCTCTTCATCACCAAAACCCATTAGCATGATTTGCTTTTGGTGACCCTGAGCTGGCTCTTCCCAATCACCTGTTTGTGCTTCAGGCACCTGGAAATGCTCCTCATGGGTAGCAGAAGGGGAAGGCCAGGACGTTAACAGTGTGCACATCATGGCTCCTGACTCACAGGTCACCCGTCTCACTGAGTAGAGACTCAGTGTCTCGGTCCTCTGGAGATCATGAATAAGTACATTATTACCTGCCTCACACGGCCCATGTGTGGCTTAAACGATGCGAGTCCTTTATGTGCACCACTCGGTAACTACATTATAATTAAGAGATACTTATCAGGAATCATGAGTCAAGCAGAACATGCCAAGCACTGGGAACAGCATCCAAATGAAGGAGATGTTTTAACAATAAATAATTTAGTCCTCGTTCCTGCCATGTGTTTCATTTACAAGGGGAGGACTTGGAACCATATAAAAGGCCCCCATCCCTTTGCCTCTCACAGTCTGCTCTCCTGGTCAGCATCTGCCTTCCCTCGTGAATTGGGTAAGACACATCCTAGAGCATCCGGGTTCATTTTTGGATGGGTGTTTGGATTCAGGAGGTCACGGGCCTGGCACGTTTGCACTGTCCTTCAGACCAGGCTCTATGCACAAGGGCTAGAGGATGGTGGGCTAAGCCAAGGAAGAAGCTACTGGGGGACTTGGGTATGGGATTTACAGCAATGCCACTACATGCTTCAGTGCCTTATGGTTGTTTCTGTTCTTGGCAGGGAAAAAAAATCAAGGGTAAGGTCGGAAAAAGGGTTTGGACATAACATGACCAGTATTGGGCAACTGCAAGAATTTCCTTTAGATCCAAGGTTTCAGGATAAGCAAGGCTGACTTATGAATGGCTCACTAAAGCAGCTTTATGGGAAATTAAATGAAAACGGAGGAGGTGGAAATGCAAGCCTATCTTTTTTCGCATGTGTGTGTTTCAGGTTTTTCCCTAAAAGATTTACTCTTCCGGAAGAGAATCATACTTCAACCTGAACTCAACCTGGTATGACCCCTCAGGGTCCTGGCTGGACACCCGGCGCACCCCCTTCCGCTACGGCTACAACACTTGCTCCTCAGGGTGCGATGGCGAAGGCATTGAAGGCATGAGAGGGCACAACTACCGGCATTACGGCTATCGGCAGCCAGTCTGCTCTGAGAGATGCCACGGCTATGCTGCAGCTGATTCGTGCCACGGAGGCGGGGGCTCGAGCTGTGTCAGGAGGCCCACGTACAGCTATGGGTCATCCGGGGGGTGCCACAGCCACGGGAGGTCGGTCTGCTCCGAGACATGTCATGGATCAGGGTACCGGGGGGGCAAGCCATGCTACAGCAAACCAGCACAGCGCATCCCACAGTGCTGCCCTGTGCAGACCTGTCCGCCTCCAGTGCAGACCTGTCCGCCTCCAGTGCAGGTCTGTCCCCCTCCAGTGCAGGTCTGTCCCCCTCCAGTGCAGGTCTGTCCCCCTCCGGTGCAGGTCTGTCCCCCTCCGGTGCAGGTCTGTCCCCCTCCGGTGCAGCAAGGCTGCATGCCCATGGCAAAGTGCATCCCAAGCCAGCAACAAAAGGTCTGCAAAGTGCCAGCCCGGAAGATAAAGTAGAGGACATGAGGAGTGGGGATGAATGAGAGAAACTTCTCACTTTTGCAACATTGCCTTGATGGCCAGCATGTCCAGCGTTGCTCACAGATCTCCACTCTTCCTGTCATTTTGCTTGTAACGTGCTTTGAAGGTGCAACCCACTGTCTCTGTGAAATATTACATGCTATTCACCTCCTTATTTCACAGCAGATGTGGAGGCAATAAAAAATTACAGTTCGTAACCTTCTTGCATCAGTGTTTTCTGCTTCATCGCTTTGAATTGCTTCTGTTCCTTCTTGTGGCCAAAGCTGGTGTTTGCAGCATCCCCGTTCACCCTCACATTGAGGTTCCTGGTTGATTCAACCTGGTGTCTTTTTATTCCTACTCCAGACAACTTCCTCGTTGAGAAGGAACTAACAGTTTTCATCACGGACTCTTTATGCAACCCAGCAATTAAACACTAATACACTAATGTATAAAAAACCACACACTTCATCAGAGAGGTAAAAATGAGACAGTCTGCTTGGCACATCATTTCATTCACTGACGAGGCAATGGGTGCAGTTTGATGTGTATCAGAAGCCTCCAAAGTAAGCCCTGGGAAAAAAGTCAGGAAGAGGATTCAGAAATAGGAATGGCACAGCTAGTGCAGAGCAAGAGGGAGTGCTGGAGCTGATGGAAGAGAAATGCTCTGGTCCTTGGTCCATTAAACCTTCAGAGATCCCAGGCATGATGGATCTTGTCTCACCCCAAGGGAGGCAGCTCCTGCAGGACCTACGTGTCTTCTGCTGCCGGTGCTCGGTGACACTTGGTGCTGCTCTGACAGCTGGGAGATGTCGGGAAAGACCAGGGAGGAGCGAGACCTCTCAGAGCTGAAAACTTTGACCCAGGGAGAAATGGGGATCATCTGGCCAGGAATACACGTCAAATGGAAATTAGAAACTGGTTTGCAGAGGGACACTTGGCTGGACCTGCTCTCTCTAATGGAGCGAAAGGCCCCAAACTCCTTGTAAGACTTAAGGTTAGAAGAGGAATCCTTGTAAGGTTAGAAGAGGAATCACCTGGGAGGATTGTTGCAGCAAAGCAGGGATCTGGAGCCAGTGACTCACGGTATCATGTCCCAGGTGGCTCCTCGCACCTCACCCAGCCCAGGAGAGAGCCTCCATCGACTCCGTCTCCCAGTGTCCTGCCTGGCCCAGCCTGCAGGATGTGACACATCACAGAATCAGCTGCTTCACAACATTAATGGTGGAGATTTCTCCTGCAGCATGATCTGGATAAGGAAAAGAAGTAAAAACAGGCACAGGGTGCACCTTCCTGGGATGGAGGTTTTGTAGGTGGACACACGGGGGCTGCCAACATGCTCTGCCCTGACACTGCAGCCAGCCTTCCTTGCCAACCTCTTCCTCGCACATGTGCAGAGGCTGATGCCAACATGCATTACAGAGCACGCAGTTCCCATCCCACGCACGACTCGGTGGGGTGGCCCAGCCCTGGGGCAGCCCAAATGCCCCCCGCCATGGGCTGTGTGGTGGACTGCAATGGCTCAGCTACCCCAGTGCATGCAACACCATTTCTGCAACCCTTGGGGACCTCTGTGCAAAGAAAGGTGCCAGCAAAACTGTCAAAGCAAAGGATGGGGCTGTGGCAAAGGCATTCAAATCCACTTTCAAATCCTCTCTGAAGCTTGTTAGGCTGTGGAAGAGAGAGCCAGAGGAGACCTCAGGAGGGCAGCTTCCGTTTCCCACACCCCAAGGCAGGAGTTGCTCTGCTTAAGCTGTTTTGACATAGATTTGTCTGACCTCTAATGAGAGGGATTTCACACGAGCAATCCCTGTCTGAAACAAAAGAGAGATCATCTTTGTGTTTAAATCATTTCTCAGGGATTTGGAGGTTTGAATTTTTACCTGGGGTGTCCCCCAGATCCTTCTAAGATCTTGGGCTTTTTCTCTGCTTCATTTATCTCCTTCATAAATAGAAAACCAACAACTGACATATGGAAGAACCATGACCACATATAAGCCACCCAGAAACCATGATCCAAACTGGGGAACAAACCATCTCCTGAGATTTGTATTAGGACAACTGCAAAGGCAATTCCTTCCATAAAACCAACAAAACACCCAAAGAAAAAAACTGCCATCCACTCAGAATAGGATCCAGGGATGCCGGGAAGCCTCGCCCAAAGACTAGGAGCTTTGCAGGAGATATGTGGGGCTCAGAGATCAGCTGTAGGGTCAATACGGTCCTGTCTTGTACACGGGTCCAGGTCTCTGACGCACGGGAGCATCCTCCCCACCAGGCCATGCTCAGGTGGATGTCTCTATTGCCGAGAGAAATTATAAACCTGTTTGTCACCATCCACGTGATCTGGGGTGTAATTAGTGAATCGCAAGTAATAGTTTCACAAGAATTTTTATTCTTGTGACGTTTGTGAAATATCCAAAGACACATTCTGATTTCCTCATGTATCAATCCGTTGAAGTGATTCAGCTCCATTGGTTAGCAATGAATCTCCTTGGCTATGTATTTTAATTCGATCTGTACTATTATTAATATTACAGTGGCCTCTAGAGTCCTGGATGAGATCAGGCCTGGTGCGCTTTGTGGGCAGAAAGACACTTTTCTCCCCAAAGCAGAGCATTAAATCAACAGAAAGGCGGATCCTGATGCCCTCCCCAATGCACACTTGAGGATGGAGAAAAAGAGGGAGGAAAGAGCTCAAAGAGTCACAACACTTTCCTCCCTTCTTTTTTCTCCGATCACAGTGTAATAAAGGTAACCAACAGCAGATATTTGGAACAAGTATTGTGGGAATGGGACACTGTTGGAGACCTTTTGTCTTTCCAAGTCTCCTGCTTGGATGATCTCTGTCTCCTATGGGTTTTTAAATTCCTTCTGTTTGGGTTAAAAGTCTCTTCTTCAGCAAAGAAATGACTGACTTGAAATATTGCAACAGTCCTTTTAGTGCTTCTTTGCTATCTTACTCAGAAATAGGTTTCTCTTTGATGCTACTCCCTGGCCATGTCCTATAGGCAAAGGCACCCGTGATGGGGCAGAAACCCCTTTTTTTGCCATCTGGCCCCAAGGCACCGTCCTTGGGGCAGGTATCTCCACATGCTTGCGGCAAACACCCCAGCAAGCCTTTCTAGAAACCCTCTGCCCAGCATTTCAAAAGCCCTGGGTCGAGCCAGGGGTGTTGCAAGGTGCTAGTGTTACGCAATGAACTGATAAATTTCTTCTTGGTTTGCAATTAAAACAAATTGTGTAATTTATTGGTCTGATATTGCCATTCATGAAATGGATGTTGCCCTGATAAGATTATTCTTGAGTTTGTCGCGATGATCAGAAATATCTGGCATTGCTGAAAAGGGTGCAGACAGCAGCTAACGCCCCGAACAGGCTGCCTGCTTTCGGTGTAGGAATCATTTGAAAAGGCTGGTCCTGTGAGTCTGGCATTTGCCTTAAGCCCCCACTGCAAACCCCATTTTCAAGGCATGTTAAAGTGAACAGCCGCAAAATCTAGAGGTGCTCAGGACTGCTGGCTGGGTGCTGCTGATCTGTAACAAACTCGGAACAATTAAAACATGAGGAACAGAATACAGCGCGATGTTGAGAGCCAAAAATCACTTTGAGTCTTTTTTCACGGAGAGTATTTATCATATTTCTTCTGATGCCAGAACAAAACACAATTAAACAGAAGTGATCAAACCTGGGTACAGTTTGCCCTGACACTGTTCTAGTTCATAATAGCAATTAAGCAATACAAAAGAAGCATTTAGGTTGCGTACCTGATTCATCAACCCTGCCCTGTCTGTCTTTCCAAAAATCCTCTGTGTTTGGGTAACAGCAAATGTGTCAGGCACTTTTTGGGTTGTGGAAACCGCTCAGGACTTGCAACGCCGTAACAAAGGTTCAGGCACCTGCATTCAAAGCGGGAGCTCGCCAGAGGCTGGAGAGGCACCTTGGTGACTGGCGGCTTGTTTAGTTTTCCAGCCGCTTCCCAAAGAATGCCGGGTCTTTCAAACAGCATTAGCAAAAGCGGGATGGGGCTAAGCCTCCATCTAACTGTGGTCAGCATCTGGGAATATCATAAACATTTAATCAGCATGGAGAAAGAAAAATAAAAGGTAGCAGAGGTGGACCAAAAATACCGAATGCTCGAGCACCTCTGTGGGCAAGTGAAATATTTTTCAGCCAGCGTTTTCCAAGCACTTTTGCACTGACAAAATCATAGCAGTTCCCTATTTCAGCTAACAATACTGATTTTAGTCTGTTTAATTACTGAAGCATCTTCCACAGGTAGTGGCAGAAAAGGGCAAAACAAGATCCGTGGTCCCAAGCACTTCCTAGCCCACACAGCAGACGTACAGGGAGTATCTCAAATTATTGCTTGCGATAGCAATCACTACAAACGTGGTACCTGGCCTGGCCTGAAGGCTTGCGTGTGGGTCTGCGCATCCGTCTGAATAACACTCGGATTTGTTGGCCAATTATGAGCTAATCTGGGAGCAGGGAAAAGTGCTCCAAAAAGGATGTTCCTACAAGTTTGGAAACACAACACGGCAGCCACCCCAGGCCACTGTGCGTCACTGAAGGCAGCACCCATATGAGCCCTTCTCCTCCACGTGGCAGCACTGAAGCCACTCACAACCTGGAAAAAAACCACCAGCGCTGCTGCTCCAGCATTCCTCACAGGCTGAAGGTTAACCACATAATTATGTATCTTGCTAATCCTGGATCACTACCTAGGGCAGGTCTTCCCCTTTCCAAAAATAAGAATCCCAACTGCTTTTGGTCCTTCTTGCAACAGCAGGAAACTTTAGATGGACATAAATGTTTTAGAGGGACTGTCTTTTCTCTCTCTTCACCACTCCACCATATTTGCGCTGGTTTTAAGAGAAATGAGCCAACAGCGGTACCAGTCAAATTGCTGCTAAGGAAGAGTTGTCTACCATGCCAAAGGCATTATTGGTACTTATAGGCACATCTCCGGGTTTATGGGCATTTGCGGGACTAGG